CGGATCAGTATCGGCGGTAGTGTCACTCAGAGGCATATGGGAGTGCGTGGGACATCAAACGAGCCTTAATTCGAATAGACACCTATAGGCCTTGTACGAAAGGATATCAAAAGTCTACAGAGCTAGCTACAGGGAGTGTCTCCTTATATACTTATCTTAGTCGGATCCGAATCGGATCCGACCTCACAACGAGTGGTTGATGAAGAGGGCGGCGAGTACTACCTCCGATCCGGCTCTGGGATTGGTCCGATACATGGCGAAGTTGTAACATCGTTACACCTTATTTCTTTAACTATAGCCTCTTTCTCCTACGATAGTATAATTCCGTAACTAAGTATATTTAAACATTAGAAGTTTAGTCTATACTCTACCATAAATTATCCTAAAATAGTAGGTGTGCCTTATTAGTAGCGTGGCAGCTATAGTTGTAATGGGCTGCGCCTGTAAGTGAAACACGTGATTGTATCACGTGTCCTCTTCACACCGCTTAATCATGAACCCCTATTCGTACGAAGGAACCTAACGCAAGAGTATAAAGCGACAGACGTCGTGCGATAGCTCTACTTTCTTTATCTTTCTTCTTCTGTAATATAGGCTAATGCATACTCGTTCGAAGGCCTCTTTGTTACACGGGGTAAGGGTCTATACTTCTCTATCCTGGTCCGCACTAAGGCAGGTGAGTATTACGTTAGTGTTCCGTGAGGCTTGTCTGGCGATGCAGTGGAGTTGGCGTGCTTAAGGAGGGTTTGACAAGACTAATCTATTTGATAGACTAACTTGTGACAATCTTGTTAAGTAAAGATACTAGTAAGAAAGTACAATTTGAGTTGACCACAACGAGAGTAATAATGAAATCCATCCATCCTTATATCCTCATTGCTTCCAGTCCTGCCATCCCGTCCATCCCATTTTCTTGCTCCTTGGCGGGATGTCTGTGATGGCATGCCATCCCTAATCCCATTGCCATCCCATGCTTGGCGGGATGTCTTGTCTTGGCGGGATGGCACATCACGTGACCCCC